CCCCCCCCCCCAAATAAATGTGACCGTATACTAACTGAGGTAACAGTGCTAGGAGATCACCGTTAGAATGGTGTTGGACCACCGACACAATCCACAAGGTTGCCAGGCTCCACGCAACTAAGGGTATTTTATGTCCAGCAGAAGCGGCTGTAGCACGCCTGCCTGCACTTTAAAAAAATACATATAGTGTGTGTGCATTTACTACATTTTCTTTTTCTTTTTTTTCCCCTCTAAAATGTTCTTAGCCTTAACAAAATGCACACTGACACCTGATCATCATACACCTAAGGATGAACCCAGGCAGCACCCACAAAGCATTCCGCCCTTCCCACAGCCCGTTTATTAATCCATACACAGGACGTCCCGCTGTCTGCAGCTGCTGCATTCCCGTCTGCTCAACATCCTTCAGAGTCCGCACTAAGACCACAAATCCTGTACACGGAGAGAGGACAAAAACTCGACACTTGCAAGTTGTTATTTCTCTTTCGTTTTCCACAGTTGTTATTGCCACAGAACGACTACAACAGGCTTAGGATAACCATGTGCTGGAGCACGGAGCACGAGCAGACACTTCATACAAGGGAAAGCTCTGAATCTCACGTAACAACAGAAATCCAAACGTGAATGCAAACTAACTTTAGGCTGAGGTTTCATAATCATTTGAAGACGATCTAAGTAGGGCAAACACCAAGGAAGCTGCCTTGCTGTCCCGCTGCCTCCTCCTGCACACGAACACCCCTCTCCTGGGCTCGGATTAGCGCTGGAGACACGCGGATGCCGAAGCAGCTCCGGGATCCGACGGACCCTGCAGACGCACTAACACCGGCCCTGACGCGAGGAAGAGCCCCTGGGATGGGGGGAACCAGTAAGCCAATTGTGAAACCACTTCCTTAGCTACTGTCTTCCAGCATCAGAATTAATATTAGTTATGTACAAAAATGCGAGGCCAGAAACGTAACTAGAGAACGATCTATTAAAAAAATCAAACCCCAAATCAACAAGACCATGATTTTACCACACAGATCATGTCTGAATACTACTCAAAATATATGCTGAACGTAAGACAGATTTTTTAAGAATACATGTTTTAAAATAGGTGTTTTAACAAAATATTTCAGGATGGCTGACATAAAGATAGCTCAAAAATGTAACTATTCCAACATTCAGATTTTCTGCTCAAATCAAAGTTTCTGCTACTGTACTTTTATGAGAAGCTCTTTCAAAAAAAACCCACATTATCTCATCTGATGACAGCAGGAAAGACCTGCAACAGTTTTCCAACTATTAGCAGTGTCAGATGTATGCCTTGTGACTTTG